TTAATTATTATAATAACCCTTATAGTTATAATTATTAAGATCCTAATTATAGCTATAATAAATAGGATCCTAATAATAGCTATAGTAATAATAGTAGTAGTAATAATAGTAGTAGTAATAATAGCTATAATAATAATAGCTATAGTAATAATAGCTATAGTAATAATAGTTATAATAATAATAATTATAGTAATAATAGCTATAGTAATAATAATAACTATAATAATTATAAAGATAACTATAGCTATAATAATAATAAATAGCTTTAATAGATAATCTAACTACTCTTATATAAAAAGCTTATTTAACTTTTCCCTTCTTATTAGATAGCTATATTACTTTTATATAAAGAGCCTATCTATAATCTTTATCTTTATCAGATAGCTATATTATATCTATATAAAGAACCTATTTTTAAACCTCTTCTTTATCAGATACCTTCTTTATATTTATATAATCTGCTTATCTGTAAATTCCTTCTCTTTTAGATATTTTTATTAGGTCTAGCTAGCCTGCCTATCTTCTCTTTTCTTTTCTCTTAAACAGCTACTTTATCTTTAGATAAAGAGCTAGTCTAGCTACTAGGGGTAATAGCTTTTTTCTCTTAAAAGATAGTACTTATTATAGTTAAAAGAGTCCTAGTAGGAATTAGTTAGCTATTAGCTGAACCCTGCTTAGATAAGTAGTCTAGTAGCTATATATTAGCTGGATTATAGCTATCTAGATAATCTAGATAACTTAATAATAAGAGATTATATATAGAAGATCTAGATAGTTACTTCTGAGTATAATATTATTATTATTATTATTACTATTTTTATTTATAGTATTATTATTATTTAAAATAAATAAATTATTAGTAATAGAATTCTATTATTAAGCTAGAGAAACTATAATAGTTATAATATCTTTTTTATTATTATATAGTAATTAAAATAAGATAATTAACTAAATAAAAGTTATTAATATATAATAGTTAGATAATTTATATTAAACTAGATTTAAAATAGATTAAAATTAAACTAATTAGAAAATTATTCTAAATAATATAATTAGATTATTATAAACTATATAATATAAGTTATTATTAATATATAAGTATTATAGAGCTAGTAATAATAAAAATATAAATAATATAAATTTATTAATAACTATTTAAGAATATTTTATCTAGTAAAATAAATATATATATATACTAGATAGCTTATAAGAGCTTATTAATAATCTAGAATAAGTTTAATTAAGAATTATATAAGCTTATTAGTAATCCAGAGTAATTCTTTTTATATTAGAGGAAAAAAATAAGGTTTAATATATAATATTAGAGATATTTCTTTATTTATAATATACTACTGCTTTTTATTATATAATATAACTAAGTATATATAAATAGATATTAGATATTAAATCTATATTATTTCTAATAAAAATTTCCTATAGTAGTAAATATATACTATATTTATAGAAATAAATTAATTTATAATCTTAAAAATAACTAACTTTTTTATTTCTAAATATATATAATTCTAAATTAAATTAAAATAAATTTTAATATACTAATACTAAGTCTAATCTAATCTAACTAATATTCTAATCTAAATATAATTAAAAATAATATAAAGCTTAAATAATTAATTTTTAAAAACTATTTCTACTTTTATTAACTTAATATAATATATAATATATTAAAACTATAAGTTATATATTAGATTATAGTAAACTTATATAAAAGAGTAGTTATTTATAAAATATAGTATTTATTTAAACTAATCTTAATTCTCTATAAGTATTTATAATAGCTATTAATAGTAGGCTATATAGTAAAATAATAATCTAAATAGATATAACTATTAGACTTATATTATTAAAAGTAGTTTTATTACTATAAGTAAATCTTTAATTAATTAAAAAGATATATAATAAATATAATTAGTAAATAGCTATATTAGATTATTTTAAATAATAGTTATTATTATTTTAAAGATTTTATTAATAGTATTAAATAAATTCTAAGAGATTAGAATATTTATATTAAATATAATAGCTATTTAAAATATCTAGTAATTAATTAAATAAGTAATTAATTAATAATATAATATAATTAATTAATTAATTAAAATAAGAAAAAGTAGTTACTATTATTAAATAATAGGCTTTTCCCCTTAGAGGCTATAGCTATAATTAAACTATTTATATATCTAGCTATATAAATAGCTTTTATTATTAGAGTTTTTAAGATATTAATATCTATATCTAGACTAAAAGTATTTAATTTTAACTTTATCTTATAGTATTAAAAGTTTAAATATAAACTACTAATTATATTTTTAAAAAATATATATTAAACTATATATTATCTAATCTTAGAATATACTCTTATTTATAGTAAAACTAATAAAAAAAAAAAAATACTACTGCTTTTATTAAAACTAGCTCCTTAGTACTTATATATTAGTAGTAACTTATATAGTACTAAGATAACCTAATTATACTACTTAGAATAATACTCTAATTAGTTTAACCCTGATCTACCCTAGACCTCGATCTAGTATAAGTTAACTAATTATTATAATACTATTAAAAGATAGAGAGTAAGATTTATTATTAAAGGTTTATTAATTTATTAATTAGAAATTTTTATAAGCTTATAAAAATTTTTCTTTTTATTAGTATTTAATTAATATTTCTAATATTCCTATAATAATTAGTATTTATATAAACTACTTAATACTTATAAAAGTAAAAAAGTTAAGTAGATCTTAATTAAGCTTTATTAAATAAAAGTTTAATAAGGTTTAATTAAGATCTATCTATATACTTTTTTAGCCTCCTACTTATTTATACTATAATAGAGCTTATTATAATAAAGCTATTTATTTACTTTATATAATATCTATTTATTATCTATAAGTAGTATAAGTATATATATATTACTTAAGAGGTAGAATTTTATCTTTAAACTTAATATTAATTTATTATAATATCTTAAAGAAGAGAAATTAAAGTAGCTATTTAAGTAATAAATAGATTTATATAAGATTAAGAGAAATTATATAAATATTTAGTATAAAGCTAATATTATATATCTCTTTACTTAAGATTAATAGATTATAATATTAAATATATAAGTATATTATATATATAAAATAAAGAATATAGATTTATTTATAAAAAAAATATAATTAAAAGAGTAAGAAAAAAAAAAGTAATAATATTATAAAGAAAGTAATAAAAGCTTATAATTAATTATAGATAAGTAATATATATTATTAATAATTCTTTATTTAAAAAGCTATAAGTAGTTAGTTTAAGTTAGTACTACTAAAGAGATTATTATCTTTAATAATAATATATAGTTTAAATTAACTATTAAAAAAGTATAAGAGCTCTTTAAGAAGAAGATAGCTAAAAAAGTATAAAAAAATATAAATAATTATTTAAATTAAATATAATTAGCTTAAATTTTATAAATAGCTTAAGTTTATTAATTAAATAATATATCTCTAAGAGCTATTTATTATTAAGCTTTATAATATAAGGTAAGATATTTAAAAGAAGGAAATAGTATTATAATTTATATAAAAGATAATAAAATATATATTTAACTAACTATAAATAACTATAATAGTTATTAAGATTAATAAAGCTATATTATTTAAGATAGTTTTATTATAAATAAAAATCTCTTAAGTAGATTATATAAGTTATATATAAACCTACCTTATAATTAAAGTAATAAGAGTAATATACTCTTATTATAGAATTATTAAAATTAATTAGAAGTAATATACTCTTAATAATAGAGGAATATATTAAAGAAATATAGAAGTCTTAATCTAAGGATTTAAAAGTAGATCTAGGAATAAAATAATCTAAAGCTCTTAATCCTAAGAGTACTATATTATATACTACTATTACCTTAAATAGGTTCTCTATATTACTAAAAGATCCTTTACTCTAAAGATAGCTAGAAAGCTTAATCTAGCTTTATAGAATTAGTAATAATAAGTATAAAGTATCTTTTAATATTACTATATTAATAATAGATAATATAAATATAATTTATAAAATAAGCTTATTTAGTAGTAAGTTAAAATTCCCTACTAAAGTAGCTATAATATAAGTCTATTTATAAAAATCTATAAAGGTTTATTTTAATAGCCCAAATAAGTAGCTTATCTAGAATAAGGTATTTATACTAAGGTAATACCACTTTGCATTTAGGCTTTTATTAACTTAAAGGGCCCTGGCCAGGACTACCTATAACCCCTTCCTTTGAGGTATACAAGCAAAGGGTATCCCAGTTATTATTAGCTGCTACTCTATCGCAAGGTGTATCTATATGAGGTAGTATATAGGCGGCAGCATGTTATAAAAGCCTATAGTAACTTCCATTCCAGCTATGCCAGCTAACTTGAACGAACCCCGCTTAGTAGGTTGCTCCTGCCCTTCAAAATCTAGAACTGCCTGTGGGGAACCTGTTCGACAGTATTCTTGTAGATCTGGCCCACCGGTTCTGGGTCCTCCTATATACTCAGCTGCTCCCTCCATTCTAGGCTAGCTTTGCGGTGTTAGGCAATTAGTGCTTGCCTCACCCCGTGGCACTAAACTCGGGCTGGTGGCAGTTTTCGACTGTCGCAAGCTTTAGCAGTTTAACCTTTGGGCCTACAAAATGAAGCCAGAGTAGGAGATATTGGATTTTAAGTTTAACTGGGCTGATTCAAACTCTTGCTTTCCTTTGAACCTTGGTAATATCATCTGCATTCCATTATATTTAGGAAGAAAATACTCTATTGAGATGTATGGTGCGTGTCTTCTCCCTTGTGCTTTCAGCTGTGGCACCAAAGTTTCCCAGCTCTGGTAGGACAGCATGTGATTCTTCACGGTGTGATATTGAAATATCCAATGAATTCCGAACCCCTGCCCCTCCATGTCGATGTGAACTGAGGTTAAGGGTCTAGGATACTGGCTTCGAACGATTCATCCATTTCCCTTTCGCCATGATGGCCCAATCTCCAAATCTAGCAACCTATAAACGCATCATTATTTGTGCAGATGGGACATGGCAAGCATCCGACATTAGCGATAAGTCTGCCCCTTCCAACGTCCATAAACTAGCCCGTGCGGTTGCAAAAAATGGTATCGATGCGCAAGGGAATATTGTTAAGCAGATTGTGCTGTATCATTCAGCACTTGGGGCTGGGGACCCCCCCTTTCAAAAGTTCAATTATGGTAATACTTAACTCCAACCTACTCCTGATATTTTTAGAGGTGAAATGCTAATTATTTTGGTTTTGAACATACAGGAAGCATCGGCTGGGGCTTAGATGGAGATATACGCCAAATCTATAATTTCATCTCTAATAACTATGAGGATGGTGACGAGCTATTCTTCTTTGGCTTCTCGCGGGGGGCTTTTACCGTCCGCTCAGTCGCCGGTCTCATCTGCGACATTGGCATTCTCTCAGCGCTCTATATGTCCTGTTTCACGGAGATGTGGGAGGCATACCGTGCTAATACTAATGGTAAATCCTTCAGGGAAACATGGTGGTATCTGAATCACAAAGATGCCCTTGGTCTTACGGACGTCAGGGTCAAGGTTGTAGGTGTTTGGGAGACAGTCGGAGACCTGGTATGTATCAGAAGTCATTACTTCATTATATTTACGATTTAACAAACACCCGCGCTGCTAGGGAATCCCGGAATGGCCCGAATTGAGACAGCTGAATAGGCTTGGGTTTAATATCAATCCAGAGTATTCATTTCATAACACGAAAGTATCGAAAAGTAAGTCTTGTTTCGTGTTTGCTCGCGGGTGTTGTATGATATGAGTATGCTAAACAAAAACCCCTAGATTTGGAATATGCCTTCCAAGCCCTTGCGATTGATGAGCAAAGATTGTCCTACTTCCCAACCCTCTGGCACAAAACAAGGGATGGTCCTGCCAAAGATCTGCAACAGTGTTGGTTTGCCGGCGTCCATGAAGACATTGGCGGCCTAAGAGACGGATCACCTGATGCATCATATTCCGAAACTGGCCATAATTCATTTGCGTGGATGGTAATCTTCTCCAACCTTCTGACTCGCTTTTTTAAACTGTAGCTAACTAATCCTCCCGGAATCTAGGTGGACAATCTCTCAGGCATGCTTACCTTTGATGCTGAGGCTATCGAAATCATCATCAAGAACCATATGAGTGCGCTCAAATCCATTCGGGTCGCTGATGGATGGGGCTGCGGGCCTATTGGTAGCAGCTTCTCTGGCCTTCAAGGTCTCTTTTGGGGGCTTCTACACAGGCAACACCGAACACCTGGCGTCTATCTGCAAGATCCCGGTGGCGGGACCAGCGGCGCTACGAATGAATATTTTCACCCTACCGTACGGATACGTCAAAAGAATCTAAGTTACAAACCGGTCTCACTGAAGAGATGTTTCCCTATGAAAAGGGGTAGTGGTGGAGGGTGGCTGTGGGTAATGAGCGATTTGAGGGCCGTACCGGAATACGTGATAAACCCGGAGAAGAAGATGAGTATCGTTTACCAGGAGAATGGGAGCTTAAAGTATACGGAGCGGGAGATTTTATCCAGGTCATTGTGCCCACAGAGCATCCTTACGCGTCTAGATGAGGACAATGACATGATCGGGGTAGACTGGAATCTCCCTCGACTGGCAATTACAACAAATACCATGATGAGAGTGTTCATTTCCGATATGTCACTGGCTAAACATGGAATCTTTCATAACTTCGAAATGGAGGTTGACATAGGTCAGCCCTTGTCTCAAATTATCCGGAAAGTGGCAGATAAAGGATTCAAGGGAGACCTAGTGTACGGGGGGAAGCGACTAACCTGGATTCGTGATCGTCTGCCGGCGGACCTAGGTTTATACAAGGACTCAACCATTCACATTATTCCCTCAAAAGAGAACATCGACCTTGTCACAGAACAAAATTCTTTTGCCGAGTTTCGTCATCATTCTAAAAAGTTAAAGTGCTTGAAAGAAGCAGCAGACAAGCACGATTTTGACTACAACCCACATATCCTCGAGCCCGAAGAATACTACAACTGGCTCACATCCTTGGAAGACTATGTATTCGCTAACTCGGAGCTTCGAATGAGTGACGGATCTTATTATGCAAAAGAAAACAATTTTGATTTCTTCGGGCATGTGGACGTCCCTGGTCATATGCTCCCCCAGTCGCAACTCGCGCTCAACCTCTGGGCACAGTCTCAAACTTCCCCTTCAGCCATAGCCGAGCATCAGGTCACCGTGAAAACCCTCTTCCTGAGCTACATGAAGAGCTATCTCATCTTAACGCGTCTCAACAAATCTATGCATACCCTGGTTGCTAATGGTTTTGCTTCATCGTACTTTTCCTTCCTGCTGGAAATACCCGGTGAGGCAATTGCCCAGATTGTGCCTGTCGAGCGTGCTTTTCTCTCAAAGTTGCAAGAGAAGATTGAGAAAGTTGTGAAACTGCTATCCGATGAACATGCCAGCATAAAGACCGACCTGCGTGACGAGAAAATTAGGGATTGCCTTCAGCCAGTAATCAATGACTTCTTCGGTTCATTGACTGGTACAGCGCCCTCTTGGCTTGACCACTCACCATCTTTCATGTCGCGACTATGCAGACTCACTGTGCTACTCTGTGATCTGGCACTTTTGTCCTATGTTGGATCCCATGCTTCCCGATTCGACTATCGATTTATCACAAAACCTGAAATCTGCCATTCTTTTGCCACTCGGAGCGAGGCGGAAGGAGTTTTCAGCTTCAGGTGCGACCTACGCCGCCTCAAGTGCCTGGACCAACTATTTGACTCGCGACCATTATGGGTATTCCGCCTAGAACTTCCCGACGATATTAAACTACAGAAGAAACCCTTTCCTCTGGAGCCTGAGTTGTCGATAATGACGAAGATAGAGCATCTTGCGGATATCTGGGGTCCAGTTCACGCCATCGGCAACCCTAGAGATGAGAATCAGATTTATCATTATGTGTTAGGGACTGGGATCATTAGGCGGTCGGATGTATCCGAGGCGATGCCACGCCGGGATGTAGCCCAATGCCATTGGGAAGACCTTTCGACGTCTGATACAAAAGAAACAAAACCTATATGGTACAAGAATATCTACAATGAATCACTTACCACAAGGCCCATCCTTTCGCCTCACGATGTTCTTCTTATTGGTATGGCTGGGTTTCAGGAGATTTCTACGTGCCAGTACAACCAAAAGTTCTTCAAACAAGATTACCAAGACAAATGTATGGTTAAGTGGGCTAGACCCCCGGAGTGGAGGCTCGAGGGACGTAATGCCAGTCTCAGTGTGTCAAAAATAGTTGGAGGCGGCGTGGGTCTGTCCCAGAAGCGGTATCCTGAAGTTCCAATCAAGGAGAGTGTCTGGAAGGAGTGGACCCTGATGCCCAAAAGAGCGAATCCCGAAATACTCCAGACCAATTATGGCGTTGAAGTAAGTGCATGTACTGGAAACGCTCGCAGGGTGCCTCTCAAGTCATTTATTGAAGGGGAAGCGTTCCGAGAACTTCTGGGAATTCAGTTTGGAGATTTGGAACAAAGAGCTTGGAGAGCCAACCTGGTGAATGCATTGAACGAGTCGGACGGCAAAGGCGAGCCTGAGCCACTATATCAGTTCTGGAAGAATCACGAGAAGGACAAAGAAGAAGTTTCGGATCTGGTATCATATATCTTGTCGATTTTGGAAGATTCAGGCTCTGTGGATGGCAACCTTAAGGTGTGCCTAGCAGTAGGATCGGGCGTGGATGTTGTGACTATGCCCCAAAAGCTGAATGAATGGGCTTCCGTCTTGAAAAACACTCACCTTACAGCGGCTTACGTGGCTATGACACCCCGTTGTATCACTTACTCTGGGGACCCTGGAAGTTCAGCTTCAGAGAAGCACTATTCTGAGTGCGCGCATAAGTCGACTGGTCCGTCGCGTACAATCCTGCATTTTCAGTCCAGAATTCCTACGTTAGACCGGATAACATATCTACGACTTGAACCGGCCGGGAAAGTCTTTGAGGTTAAAGAGACAGCCTCGGGTTCTGAAAGAGATGTACTCGTGTTGACACGCGCCCTCGCATGGCCCTACGCAGGCCTCGGCAGTCGCATCATCATGAGAGAGATTCAGTTTTCCCATGATCAAATGGATGCGAGAAGCATCTATATCTGTTCCAAGGTGATGAGTAATGGAGGAATGACACAGCCAAGACGAATGTTGAGAGCTATACAATTTGGCCCCGATATAACTTTACAAGATTTGTCTGACCGAAGTCTGCGAACCCTTGATGATGAGGATGGCATAAGCACCCTGAGTGACGGAGACAACTCTTCTTTGCGGCCACTCTCTACTGTTTAATGTTTAATAATAAGACATCAATGAAGTGTTAAGGATGTTAATGGACATGGTACAGTGTCTGAAGTTTTGAATTGTGTTTTTTTAAAGCTTTGTTTCTTTTGGTCCACTTTGTATGCTTTCCCGTGAAAATCATCGCGTCCACGGATATCATTGAGGCGCAGATAAGACTCTCCTATAAAATTAGACATAACATTAAACAGGATTTCAACCACACAGGGACCTCATCCAGCTACACTTATCCCATCCCGCGCCAGCCTCAGGAAGGCCTTTTCAGTCTAGACATTCGAGCCCAACTTTCTCCACTCGCTCTCGCCAAGACTCCCCGTTCTTGCTATCAATATACGCGCGGGTCTAGGGTATGCGCTAACTCAGCACATACCCCAGGGTTATATAACCCCTGATTTTTTCAATTAGATCGGATTAAAATAGCCCTCTTATACCCCCCCCCTAACCTAGGTAGGCGGAGGCTACTCTAGACCTAGTTAATTAGGAAAAAAAAAAGGCTATATATTATATAACTTATAGAATAGGATCTAGATTTTCTAATTAAATTAGATTAAAATAGCTCTCTTAGTATTATACCCTCTCTTATACTTTATAGAGATAAGAGCTATCTTAGATATTATAATAGGAATAAATTATATTTTTAATTAAATTAAATTAAAATACTCTCTTATTTATATAATTTAATATAAATTATAAAGCTATATTAAGTATAAAGTAATAATAATATAAATAATAAAATATTAATTAAATTAAATTAAAATATTTTTATTTCTATCTATTTACTTATTTCTCTACTTATAATATTTATTCTTTATCTTTATTTATTTTATTATTTTATTATCTTTTTACTTTTACTATTATTATCTTATTATTTTATTATCTCTCTACTTTTATTATTATTATTTTATTACTCTCTTATTATTCTCTTTTTTTTTATTTATTCTCTTATATCTATATCTTTCTCTTAATTAATTATTATTAGAAAGCTTTTCTAAAGTATATATTTATAGATAAAATAGATTATAAAGATAATTAATTAAGTTATTATTCTAGCTATAGAACTAGATTAATTATAAAGCTAGTTCTAGAGTAATTATAACTAAGCAGACTGCTCTATAACTAGTCTATAGCTAGTAACTGCTTATTAGAGGTATTTAGTATATTAATATAAATAGTCTTTTATTTTCTTATTCTATATAAATAGTTTTTTCTATTATAAGTTCTCTTTATAACCTCTATATATATAAGAAATAAATATATATAATTCTAATTCTTTATCTTTATTAAAAAGATACTCTTTAAGTATTATACTATTTAATTATATATATATATATTATAATAGAGATTTATTATACTAATATATATACTTTATTATTAAATTATCTTACTATTATAATTTAATTAGTTATTTTAATAATAAGTAATTATAAATATATACTCTATCTATAATAATTCCTATTTTAAAATATTAAGTATTTCTCTTTTTTCTTCTTTTATATAGCTATATTTTATTATATATATATTCTTATAATAATTCTTATTATTTTAGAATATTATTCTAAAGCTAATTATATATAGAATAATTATTATTTCTTTTCTAATTATATTATATATAGAGATCTATATATCTTAAGATAGAGTTTTATTATTAATTTTATTCTAAAGAAAAATAATTAATTATATTTATTTTTCCTATTTATATTCTCTTATCTCTACTAATAAATAAAACTATTAAAGAAAGAAAGTTTAATTTTATATTTTAATTAGATATATTTATCTAATAAGTTTTAAAGTAATTACTTATTTATTTATCTCTATTAAATAGTATTAGAAAGTACTTTTAAATACTTAGAAGAAATTAATAAAAATTAAAAAAAAAAAAGAATTAAATTAAAAAGATTTACTCTAACTAGATATAAATATTACTTATTATTTTATTTTCTATTTTTATAATTAATATTTAGTTTTAATAAGTATTCTAATATATATATAGTATATAATAAGTTATTTATCTCTAGAAAGAGTAATAATTATTATTTTAATTATAGTAGTAATAGAATATAGTATATATATTATAATAAGAGTAATAATATTTATATTACTATTTCTCTTATTCTTCTATTATTTTTATATAATTTAATTTCTATATATATAGCTTTTACTAAGCTAGATAAGATTATTAGAAAGTCTATCTATATATAAATTAAAGTATATACTATAGTTAGATATATTATTACTATCTAGAAGAAAGCTTATAATCTTATTATTAATAATACTTTTAATAGTTTAATTATTACTTAGAATATTATAGATAATACTATTATTTCTAAAGCTATTAAACTAACTTTTAAATATTATATAGTTTATAAAAAGATTAATAAGTTTAAAAGTAAGAATAAAAGTAAGAGTAATTTCTTAATCTTCTAATCTTACTAATTCTAATATCTAATATAATACTATCTTTCTATATACTCTGAATTATATATATTAGAAAATTAGAAAATACTAAAAAAATATATAAAAATATAAAATCTAAAAAAAAGAAATAAATAATATAAATAGATAGATAAATAGAAAATAGAATTATTCTAATTAGAGATCTCTTTTTTATATATTCTATTTATATATAATATATTTAAATTTATACTTTTAAATAATTATTATATAAATTTAATCTATTAATTTAATCTATTAAGCTATATCTACTTTAGATAATTTCTTTATATCTCTTTATACTCTAACTCTTAATTTATTTAATTTAATAAGCTTTAAGAATATTATATTAGATTTAATCTTTATTAATATATTAGTAGAATTATTATCTCTATAGATCTATTTTATTTATATAATTTTATAATACTTATATAATTAATATAAAACTATTATATTAATTATAAGCTTTTTCTCTATTATTATTCTTAGTTTAATAAAATATTTATATAATAAAAGTAAATCTATATAGATTATAAGAAGTATTTCTAATAGTACTAATTTTAAAATAATTATTCTAAGTATATTTATAATTATAATATTAATATTAAAACTAGCTATTATATTATAAATTTCTAATATAAAGCTATTTCTTATAATATATTTATACTTTTATTATATAATATAACTAAATATATATAAATAGATACTAGATTAATATTAAATCTATATTATTTCTAATAAAAATTTCCTATAGTAGTAAATATATATTATACTTATAGAGATAAATTAACTTATAATCTTAAAGGTAATTAATTTTTTTATTTCTAAATATATATAATTCTAAATTAAATTAAAATAAACTCTAAAAAGCTTATTATTATTTAATCTAATAGTTCTTATAGATTTTATTAGATTAATTTTCTATTTTTTCTCTTTAAAAGAAAATATCTAAATAATTTCTTTTTCTTTAAATTTTTAATTTTTATTTAATTTTTAAAATATATTAATATTATTTATAATAAATAGTTAAAATATAAAAATAGAATTAATATTAATATATTTTAATAAGATATTTATTTTTCTATATTTATTAGAATTAATTTATATTAATAAATTCTAATTTAATATATTATTTAAATAATATATAATTTCTCTTTTTTTCTTAGAGATTTTAATTTATCTTTTTATATATAATTTCTATTTAATTAAATTATTAATAATTTTCTAAAGATTAGAATTATATTTAGAAAATTATTTTATCTAAAAAACTATAAAGTATTTTATATATAATTACTATTAAAAGAAAATAATAATTCTAGAAAATATAAATTCTCTTTTTTTTTCTAGTAATAATAATTATACTTTATTATTATAATAGTATTAATTATTTATTTAATTATCTATTTTTCTATTATTTATTTCTTAAAATAAATAAATTTAATTTAAATATAATTCTATTTCTTTTTAAATTTAATTTTATATTTTTTTTCTTAAAAAAATATAAACTATTAATAAAAAATATAAATATTTCTTATATCTAGATCTAGTTTATATTTATTTTTTTAAATTTAAATTTTATTTTTTCTATTTTTAAGTTTTTCTTTTTTTTATTATATTAATTATATAATTTTTCTTTTAAAATTTTAAAAACTTATTATTTTTTTTTCTATTTTTAAAAACTTTATTTTTTTATTTTTTATTTTTTATTTTTATAAATAATTTATAAAATTAATTTAATTAGTTTTATTAGTTTTAAGTTTTTTAAAAATTCTAATAAATTAA